AAAGAGAGAGGAAAAGAGCAAATAATAGGGTTTAATCTGCATTCAGACTCTATAGTTCTTTTTCTGAATGTGGACAGCATTTTCCGTCATGAGTGCTTTGGAATTGTCTTAGATCCTTGCATTGCAAAGAAGAGATGAGTCTATCAAAGTTAGTCATTGTTGCACATTGTGGCTGTTACTGTGTCCAGTGTTCTCATGGTTCTGCTCACTTCACGCAGCATCAATCGATTCAAGACTTTCCAGCTGAAGTCTGCCTGCTCATCATTTCTTATAGCACAGTAGTATTCCATTAAATTCATATACCACAACTTGTTCAGCCATTACCCAATTAATGGGCATCCCCTCAATTTCTAATTCTTTGCCAACACACAAAGAGCTGCTATAAATATTTTTGTACATGTGGGTCCTTTTCCTGTTTTTGTGATCTCTTTGGGATACAGACCTAGAAGTGTTATTGCTGGGTCAAAGGGTATGCACAATTTTATAGCCCTTTGGGCATAGTTCCAAATTGCTCTCCAGAATGGCTGAATCAGTTCACAACTCCACCAACAGTGCATCAGTGTTGCAATTTTACCACATCTTCTCCAGAATTTATCATTTACCTGTTTTGTCAGGTTAGCCAATCTGATAGGTGTGATGTGGTACCTCAGAGTCGTTTTGATTTGCATTTCTCTAATCAATAGTGATTTAGAACATTTTTTCTTATGACTATGGATTCCATTTTGTATTTTTAAAGAAAATAAATCACCAAGTTCACAACTTCTTTCTACTCAGAGAATTAATGCACTGTTAGGCTGTGGTTTCTGGCCCCAACTTAAGAACTACTGTTGTAGTGTGATATTTATGTACATTTTTCAGAAGGAAGACATTTATGATCTCACCAGACTCTTAACAAATAAATGAACAATTTTTGACACCTCCATATGTGATCCCTTCTCTCCTGCCTTGCTTCCCCATTCTACTTTTAAATGAATACAACCGTTTAGGGAATTCACTGGAGTTCAATGTCACCAGCAAAAGAAACCACAAGTTCTTCTTTTTAAATACAATAGCATGTTAGATATTTAATCGGGTTTGCATTTAATTATGAATGGCTGGAATAACTGAATTATCTGCTCAAAGACAGTAGTGAATTGTATAACCCAAATAGTATTTGTTAATGTGCATTTGATAATCACAGGATATTGATATCCTTTTTATATTAATAAAGTAATGCATTTTTCTTCACATAAATTTAAACATGGAGATCTCCTAGGTATTTAGAAAAATGAAAATCTATCTAGGAAATCTTTTCTAGGTGATTAGATTAGCACCTGATGTGGTAGAAAGAATGCAGTGTTATATACTGTTAGAACTGGATGTGGCTTTAACTCTAATGAGACATCGAGGTTCAGGGAGATAGTTACTTTTTTAAAAAAACAAATTTCTTTTTTTCACCCTCTCCTTCCCACTTCCCTCCTCCCACAGGGAAGGGTGAGAAGAAAAAACAAAATTTTGATAACAAATATGGATAGTCAAGCAAAATAGATGTCTACTTGTGTCACGTTCAGAAATGTGTGTCATTCTTTATATTTGATCCCTTCTCTGTAGCATGTTGAACTAACTTATTCAAAATGACATGTCAAATTAATGGTAGAAGTAGAACTAGACCCAAGATCTCTTTGACTTATGGTTAAGGTAGTCTTTCCACTACACTATCCTGGAGCCTAGGATCAAAGTTCATATTATTATTGCTCACTCAGTCAGTTTATAAACTTTTATTAAACACTAGGGATACAAAGGATACAAACAAAGGGCAATAACTGGCTCTACCTTCAAAGAACTTCTGTTCTGATGACAGAGACACCATGTGCAAGCACGCATGTAACATATACAAAATCAATGTAAGGTCGTTTTAGGAGAAAATTTGATAGCAGCTGGGGGTGGGGGGGGGGGAGGGATTAGCAAAGGCACCACGCCAAAAGGTGGTGCTTGAACTGAATCTTGAAGGAAACCAGAAAATCCGATAGGTAGTGTAGAGCTGGGCATTCCAGGCATCAGGGCAGCTAGTACAAAGACTTGGAAAGAGAGAGGGGGCCATATGAACAGAGTAACAAATAGGCCAGTATGGTTATATCACACAATGTGTGGAGAGAGGTAATATGTAAGAAGACTAGAAAGCTCATGAAGTAATTTAGATGTCAAACAGAGAAGTTCACTTTTACCTAAAAGGAAAAGTCCTCCTTATTTCCCCATTGCAACTTAGAAGCTCTCCCTTTATTACCATCAGTCTGTAACTTCTTCTCCTTTGAGGTTCACTCAATCCATATTTATCACCCAGTCAAGATTCTGGTAGCTTACCTACAAAACTTCCAAGACATTCTCCATTTCTCAACAACTTTCGCAGCCGTGGCTCACAATCTTTCTCCTTTCTAACTCTTCTCCTCCTATTCAGAGATTTCAACTTACATATTGACATGGCCTCATACACTCTAATCTCCTAGTTCCTCAGTTTACTCCTTTTCCATGACCTGTACCTCCACCTGAGCAACATACCCTTGATCTTGCCATCACCCCAAAATATTCCTCTTTCATTCTCATGAACTCTGAAATTCCATTTATCTGATCATAATTTGTTATCATTTCATCTTTCTGTCTATCTTGTGTATCCTACCCCTGTTCTTTGTTCTTTCTGTGCTCTCCAATTATCCCCTAGTTCTTGCTCAGGCTATCACCCCTGTACTGGCCACAATCTTCTCCTTTCTGTATCTTGATTGTTTGGTGAGCCAGTTTAACTCTACACTATCGTCTTCACTTAAGTCCTTTGCCTCTTTATCTTGTTGCCGGTTTTGTCTTTCTGAGCTTTAGTCTTTGTACTGGCCGCACGCCGACCTTCTGCCGGCCGCACGCCGGTACCCTCTCCTCCTATAAGGAGCACACTACCAGAGTCATACTCACTTCTGAGTCTTCGGTCCTCAGCCGGATAAACACACAGAGACGAGCCATCGGGAGGCGCCAACACCAGAGCTTTATTCAGAGGCCATCACAGCAAGCCATCATAGCAAGCCCAAGCAGCAAGGCCAGAGCAACAGGGCAGGAGCCAGGAGAGAGCGCGTGTGATCTGACCACGCTTGTTCCTAAATACCTACCTAGCCCCTCCTCCCCAGCCCGCTTACTAGCCAATGATTGTAGGGTCAGATACCGGAAGGGGCTGTCTGAGTTTAGCACACCAAGGGGGAGGGAGTGACGTAGGAAGCTAGGACTGGATACAGGGAGGAGGCATCTGGGATTAGCACATAGACAGAGTACGTGACCTAGGAAGTCAGACTCAGACACTGGGAGGAGGGTTCTAGGGTCAGTGCTGCACAAAGGGACCCAGGAAGTCAGGAAGGTCACAAGAGGCGTCTGGGGATGACATTGCATATAGGGAGGGGACTAAGCACAGGGAACTCAGTCCTCTGCCGTCCCACTCCCACGTGGCACCGCCCCTTGCCTCAGGAGCTCAAGCTCCGGCTACTTCCTTGCACCCAGCTTATCTCACATAGCACTGCCCACTGCCTCAGGGCTTCTCCGTATCCAGCCCATCCCAGTTCACCACGACTCTGCCTACCACAGCCCCTGCCTCGACTTCCAAAATACCCAGATCTTACCCTACACTTGCCACAGTGCCCAACCTGGTAGCTGCCAGCATCAGACAGTCCCTCACAAGTCTTGGATCACTCCCACCCAACAAAGCTGGATAAAAATTCATGAAACTCTGTTGACTAAGTCTACTACAAATATATATTCAACTGAAAAAAATTTCAGTTGAGGCCTCATTGTGGCAAGGTAATCCTGTTACACCTCCCTAAATGATTAGATCCTCTACTGACCATGTGCTTTTTTCAGATATTTCCATCTTTCCTCATTTCCATGACTACCCCTCTCTTTTCCTCTCAGCTGAGAACCTTGCCTCATATTTCACTGAAAAAAAAAGCGATGCCATTCACGAGATTTTTGCCTTGTTTTTCATCTCACATCACTTAGATGTATTCCTTTATTATCACATCCTTGACTCTGTCTCATGTGCAGAGGTGGCCCTTCTCCTTTCTTGACTTCTTTGGTTTTCTTCAAGTCCCAACTAAAATCCCATCTTCTATAAGAAGCTTCTCCCAATCTCTTAATGCTGGTGCCTTCCTTCTATTGATTATCTTCATGATCTCCAATTTTTTCTCTGTATAGCTTGTTCGTACGTAATTGTTTGCATATCATCTCCTTTATTAGACTGAGCTTCTTGGGAGCAGGAACTGTTCTTTGCCTTTCTTTGTCTTCCCAGAACTTTACACAGTGCTGGCCAAATGATAAATGCTTGATAAATGATTGTTGTTGATTGTTACCACAAAAAGTGCTGTTACAAATATCTTGGTGTATTGTGGAACCTTTATGTTTGTCAGAGATCTCCTTGGGATGTATACTTAGTAGTGGAATCTTTGGGTCAAAGGGAATGATTATTTTAGTCACTTTACATAATTCCAAATTGCTTTCCAGAATGGTTTTTTCACTAATTCATCGCTCTACTGAAAATATATTAGTACGGCATGTTCACGTTTTATATATTTCAAAGACATAATGAATGGTTGTTGAATTGAATTGGAATGTGGTTAGAGTAGTGTCTTGTAGTTGTATGTCTAGTTCCTTTCTGACTAGTTGTGTTAGGCACATTGATTAATGGTATATATTCTTTCTACTCTCACTTTAGAGCTCTTTGCTTTTTTTGTTACTACTTATTCAGTAATGTTTTTGGCAAGATGGGATGGGATAATTTGAATAAGTATTAGCTATAGTTCCTCACATAGATTTGAAGAATTAATAGGTTCAGAACCAAAGAGCACGGGTGAAGTAATGATCTCAAACACTTCTATAAAGGCCTGAGATAAGACTTGAACAATAATCGTATTGTAATTTTTCCCAAAGTGTGTAATTCTTGTGCAGTGTTATCATCATTTGAAAGTTAGCTAATAGTCATTCATTATTTATTGTAGGTGCTACAGAATATTTTAGAAACAGAAAATGAATATTCTAAAGAACTACAGACTATTCTTTCAACTTACCTGCGACCATTACAGTCCAGTGAAAAGTAAGTTAGATTATTAATTCTTGTTATTATTAGAAGGGATTTTTAATACTTAAATAATTCTATGCTACTTTCTGTCCCCTTACTACTACCTGCTCTCATCCTTTACTGGAAAGTTGATAATAAAAAATGGCATTGAAGGATTTTACTTTTGTATTAAAGCATGCTTTAAAAATAAAAGAAGAATTTTGTGGGTTTTGGATGGGGAGGAGGCATGTTTGTAAAATTGCTCACATGTTTTTACTTGTGCTTTTCTTGTCTCCAGGTTAAACTCAACAAATATTTTATATTTAATGGGAAATCTAGAAGAAATAAGTTCTTTCCAACAAATGCTTGTACAGTCTTTAGAAGAATGCACCAAGTAAGTAGCATGCTTTAAAATTGCGGTTTTCCTTTTGGTTCCCGTAGTATTTTAAGGAATTGTGTAGTTAAGACCCTTTCAGGTTGCAGATTTCTACAGATTTAAACTTAGGAGGTTTTGAATTTCTAGGATAGCTTAGTGTCTATAGCAAAAGTTGTGTTTAGGTGATCTAATTTCCCTCTTACTTTGTAAAGTGAAGATATTCTTCTCTTCATTTCACAAAAATCTTGGCTTAATGAGCTTATGCTTTCTAACTTGGGGTACTTATTAGAAGCCAAAGAATAGAAGTGATCATTTGATTTATTGTAGAGCATGTGGGAAACAGATTTTTAAAAGTACTTTTAGGCTTAGAAAAAAAGTATTAGGCACCAAAATCTCTCCCCTTTTTGAAGGAAATAGAGCTGAATGATACCAGTTCTGGCATTTCTCACCTATATTGAATGTTTTTGTTACAACAACTTCATCATGTAACTTTTTGCAACCAAAAGAGATGCCTCAGTAGTTGTTCACAATTCCAAATATGTTCAGGGCTGTTACCCAGTGTCCTTCAGAAAAATGTAATCTGTGAATTAGTTATTACATGGGACATTTGACCCATGGTGTTGTGATGTAGTTTTGGAAATAGAGCATGAAAAGTTACCCAGCACTTTTCCACCACTGCCTTTTCAAAGTAGTCCATTCTGTTCCCTGTAGCCATCTTGTAGCATTTCTCTGTGGTTTTGAGAAGCAAATAACAGAAATGTACACAGTATTTTCTGATTTTTGTACATTTATTTATGTTGTAAGAAATTGGGAGGGTAAACATATTTCCAAACTTCTGTATGGAAAGAGGTTTCTTCCATGAGTATAGCTTAGTTCCTTAACATTGCCAGTATCCCAAGGATGAAAATATTTTCTCTCTTCATCCTTCTTTCTCTCCTCCCCTCTCCATAACTTTTACTTATGTGTTTTGAAAAATATTGCAGTCGTTTTCCAATATATCCTCTTTCTTATTAAAATCCTCTTTTTAACAAAGAAATTTAAGCAAAACCTCATCCTGTGACAATACAGTCATCATTCCACATTTTTTAGTTTCCCATGTCTTCTCCTAACAGGAGGGAAATATGTTTCCTATTCTTTAGGACCTTGATTGGAAATTGTAATCTGGGATTGGCAGCATTTTAATGTTGGTTTCTTCTATCACTGTATTTTTTCTTGATGTCATTTCATGCGAGTTTTGAATGAGGCCATTGCTGGATAGAACTTGGGACATATTCACACATTTTGAATTGTTCTGGATTGTGTGTCAGGGCACGTAATGGTGGTATGCCCTTAAGACTTTGCATTGAAACTCTCAGGGGAATGTTTTGTTCTCCCTGGAAGATTGGGCAACCAGTCCTTTACATGACTAATATACTTTCTGTGGCTGTTCATTGACAGCAATTACAATAACAACAATTTATTGGGCACCTGCTATGTTCTTGCTAGTGTTTGTGTTTTTGAAGTGTTTAAATTAGAGCTTTGTCCTCTAATTTTTGAGAAGTGAACACGTTGTAGTGACAGGCTTAGTCCTATAAATAATATATTTAAACATTAGTCACTCATGAATATAAAACATAAGGAGAGGTGAGAGTTATTTTTGTTTTCCTTTTAAATGATGATGTCTTTCAAATGGAACAGTGTGTTAACTTCAAGGGTCCTGCAGGTCTTTGACCCGGCCCTTATTCTCTTCCCCTACTATACTATTTCACTTGGTGATCTCATCAGCTCTCATGGTTATCATCTCTATGCATATGACTCTCAGATTTTCTTGTCCTTCCCTAATCTCTGTCCTGATTTCCAGTCTCATGTCTCCAGTTGTCTTTTAGACATCTTGAACTGAATGTCCCATAGGGCTCTTAAGCTCAGTCTGTCCAACCTGAACTCATCTTTCTCCCCAATTCTTCTTCTCTTCCTAGCTTCTCAATTACTCTCTGAAGTACCACCATTTTCCCATTCCTCTAGGCTCATACCTAGGTGTCATCCTAACTGCTCACTCTCACCTTCTGTATCAAATCAGTTAATAAATCCTGTCTATTCCTCCTTCATAACTTCTCTCATATATGCCCCCTTCTGTCCTCTGCACCCATCCTGCTGCAGGCCTTCATCTCTTCATGCCTGATTACTGCAGTAGTCTGGTATTTGGTCTCCTCATTTCAAGTCTCTCTTCATTCCAATCCATCTTGTACTTAGCTGTCAAACCGATCTTCCTAAAATGCAACTCTGACCATATCACTTTTCCCTTTTCCCTTATTCCTAACCCTTACCACCGTTCAATAAACTTCTGGTTCAGGATCAAATCTAAAATTCTGTTGGGCATTTAGAGCCATTCATAACCTGGCTCCTTTTTGCAGTCTTCTTACACCTTACACCAATCTATATACTGAAATCCAGTGATACTGACCTTCTTGCTGTTCCTCTCACATGACACTCTTATCTCCTGACTCAGGCATTTTTTTTTACTAGCTGTTCCCAGTGTCTGGAATGCTGTCCCTCCTCTTCTCTGCCTCCTAGGTTCCCTGGCTTCCTTCAAGTGTCTACTAAATTCTCACCTTCTGCAAGAAGCCTGTCCCTAGTCTGCCTTAACCTAGTTCCTTCCTTCTGAGATTACTATCAATTTATCCTGTATACATTTTGTTGATATATATAGCTCTCTTCATGTTGCCTTTTCCATGAGACAGTCACCTCCTTGAGAACAAGGACTAATTTTTTTTTTTTTTGCTTTTCTTTGAATACCTGAAATTTTGTATACCAGAAATTTTTTTTTGTAAACCAGTCCTTAGCACAGTGCCTGCCACTCAGTAAGAACTAAATCAGTACTAATTGGCTTGACTTGACTTGCTCTTTTCCATTTTATCTCATTGATCTCTGAATGTCTGATTTCATTCCAGTTTGTTTAGATTTGCTTCTTCCTAATTCTTGTAGGTGGAGAGGAACAAACTTGTCCTGGACCCTTGATTTATGTCAGCTTGCTATGTTGTATTGGCTAGAAAGTCAGCTCTATAAATTGATTAACAGCTTGCTAGACTGAAAATAGGTTTATCACTTTAATTTTTTGGCAGTCTTTAATGTTCCATCAAAGCACTTTGTATTAGAACATATAGTGGAAAGAAGTAGTATGCCAGAATGACTAAACGCTGGCCTCCAACCAGAAATTTAAATCAGTTTTCTTCTTGTAGCTTTCTCAGCCTGAGTAATGTGGCACATTGATGTGCCTTTGAATAGAGTAGCTTGAGTGTCACTCAGCTTCTCTACCTGGCAAATAGGGTTCATTTGCTGTAGTTTTAATTCTTTGCGAAAGGCATATCTCTTCACATAATGATAGCAGACATTGTTCATTTTCTCACTGGTGTTTAATAATATGGCCTAGTAAATGGAATGTTGAATTGTTTTCATGAGAACTGGGATATAGTACTGATATTTTTCCAGGTTTTGATGTGACTTAGGTAAGTTACTAAATTATAAAGTATGGTGACTGTTTACTCATTTATAAAGTAGGGTTTAGAAGACCTGTTTCTCTTCCTAAGAAACTTCTTTTGTAGTAATAATGGAAATATCCTTTTTTTTTCCTTCCTCTCTATTTTAATGATAACTTTTCCTTTTCATTTTGGTCTGTTTCTTTACTGAAATTTCCAGCTCCTTAGAATATAAAATTATAACAGTAAGTTTTAGAACTGCTCATGAGCTAATTCCACTCTGTCTGCTCTTACCTTTTACTATTTACAACTCTTATTAACTTACTTTCCATTCTTGCTATTTCCCAATTTTATAAAACCTCCCTCCTGCTTCTAAACACATGTTCATATTGTTCCAAGTATTACAGAACATTTCCCATTTGTCAGAATGCATCCTTCCTTTCCTTTCTTTAAATTGTGTTTCAAAGCTCATTTCCCTGAGGAAGGTTTTTCCTGATTCCTTATTATTTGACTTTTAAAAAACAATCTTTACTTCATGGATGTTTACAAATCATTGTATTATATGTATGTTTTTCTGGCCCTTGTGTCCTTCTTTTTTCCCCCCTCCCCCCGCCCCAGTTGCCCCAAATCACACAGCTAATTTAAAATTACCTAGGTATCCTGACTCCTGTTCAGTCCACAGTACTATCTAGACTCTTATTCAGAAAGCACATTCAAAGGTCATTTTGTCCTACTCGCCTTCTTTTCTTTTCAGGTATGTCAATACCATCCCTGACAAAAAGTCAATGTTGTCTCTGGTTGAAAACATTTCTAATGACAGGGAGATAAATCATTACTTTTCAAGGCTGCTGATCCATTGTCACAAAGATCATCCTCATATTGAGCCTAAATCTGACTCCTTGTTAAATTTATTGAATTTAATTGTATCCCTTTACAGCTCCTCTGGTCTTCAAGTGATCTCCTTTGTACCTAATTATGATTCTTACTACTCATATCAGAGAAGGGGAGCTATAAACTTGAATTGTGCAGCCTGTAGGAGGTTCTGGATTACAGGGTCCTTGCAGTGATGCCCTGAACATAGTACTGGGGGTGTGAGTAGTCTTCCTCTAAGGTGAAGATAAAGGCTGTGATGTCAGGACCTCTAAAGTTGCTATTTTGTGGATATCCAGCCTTTGCTTGTGAAGTTCATTTATTTCTCTTCACTTATTGCTTTACTGTCCCACTTCTTTTGTGGGTCATATGTGTCTTTGATGATGCCTTTTATGCCACTTTTTACATGTCAGGTGAATTTTGCAGCCTACATTTCTACAATATGTTCTTTCCAATATCCTATGGTCACAAGAAAATTTGAATCTTAAGAATTCATAATGTTTATTCACTGATCGATAGACAAATGGGAGAATATTCAGTGTTAAAAGATAGATTTCTGTGACAGTAAGCAGCTTGGAATGATTGAAAGCAGTGTGTTGTTTCCAAATGTCATCCAGCCGGATCAGCTCCTATTTAGTTCCAAGGCCAAGTCCATCATTAACACTTGTACAGGGTAGACATACATATGCATAAACT